AAAAAGGCAGCCTTTAGTGAATTTACTTGACAGAGCCGGCTTTTGGAAAATGGATACGACAAACTATAGTCTAATCAGGGCTTACCGACAGGAAACAATAGATGTTGAGGTTCATCACACTGCTAAGCAGAACCATCACTGGAAATCGTGTGACATTGTAGGGAAGCTTGTGTTTTTATGAATGTCTGAAACTTCATGATTATGGAGGCTGACTGTAAGGAGATGATGCAGTCTGCTCATGCTCTCTTTTTTAACTGAAGACCCGTGATGCTATTGAACCCTACTGATGAGCTAGTACCAGTTTAGTGCGGTTCGGTTATGTCTGGTGCTGTCCGGTTCAGTTGTGCCTGCCATTTACACTCAACAGTTATCTCGGTTACCATTGCTATGGTATAAAAGGGTAGTGTAAATGGGTCTTAGTCTTCAGGACGAAAACTATATATATAATTAGTTTTAGTCGCATTTTAGTCATTACTATATGTGATAGTTTAAGGTGGTTTTTGTCGACTAAAAATTAAAGAAGGCTTTAGTCTAGTTTTAGTCAGTTTTATGTTGCAAAAAATAATTTACCTTTACAATTTGGAATAAAAACCAGATTCTTTCCCAGAATGAAAGCTCTAGCCTTGATACTACAATGACTGGGTACAGAATGCTGCCATGCAGTTCATCATTGCTGTTGGGCTGAGAACTGTAGTTTATAGAATTAAAATAAATGTTTTTATGATATAATGCTCTATTTTTTACAAAAGTGTCTCACAAAAGTTGTGAAAATAGCAGATCTCGTTCAAGACATCATACCGGTTAATATAGCAGATAGACAAGCTAACAAAATAAAAAAGGAATAGTTTTAGACATATAATGTTTTTTCATCCTAAGGAAAACACTTACTGATCTAATGTGAATTAACGTTACACACAGATCAATAAAATCTTCATTGCTCCAAAAAAGCAAAGAACAAAGCATTATTCTTTCTGCTTGGGCAATTTTGTCTTTCTTTCTTCAATTTGCCCCTCTGTAACTGCACCTCAGGGGTAAAGTAGATTTCAATTCACAGGGTTTTGATTAAAAAAATAAATACAGACAGAACCTACATAATTGCCTGTAATGCCATGGCAATCCAAACCTAAATGAATATGCTAAAATGTTGACATATTTAAAGGAAACAGTAAAAATGTTTTTAATGAAAATACAAGGAAACATTTACATCATATTTAAATAGACAGAAAAGAGAAAAAATAGAAAGAAATATTCATCGATCTATGTACCTTTTCATCTGGCTCTTTATCCAAAGATAAACAGTTTGCAATGAAATATTTTATTTGGATGTAATTTAGGGATTCCTTTTGATAGAAATTTAAGAATGTTTCGCATCACCTCTTTTTAGCTGGAAGAAATAAAATCTTGATAGCTAGACAAAGGGATTTTTACACTTGGCAGAAAATGATCAGCCACATAGTTTATAAAGTAGCAAGAGCAGGAAGAGCCGTACTGCTGAGAGTGAATCATCAGTGTGGAGCATAAAGCGCATCTGTGCATCCAGTGAAAGAGGAGAGTTTATCAGAGTTGATTAATAGACTTTATTGATCTCACAGTGGAGAATGTACTCCTTACATCACCTCAAATAGGCGAAGGAGAAGGTGCCAAAGGAAGAAAAAGGCAAATGGGAAATATGCAGTATCTACAGTGCGTCCGCATATGAAAGCTTTCTTTTTGTTTTTGTTGAGTACTGGATGATTTCGGCTTATTTCCCCCCTGCCGCTGCTGCTATGATGCATCTGTGGTCATGCAGAAAGTGCACCGCTGCACGCCAGGTGGGCTGCCTGACCAAACAAGATGCAGCTGCATGGCTGATACTGCTTAGCTTGTCTAATAGATTACAGCACAATGATGCATTTTACACGTCTGACCGACCAACCGCTAACATTTTTATTTGGTGTTGTCTTGCTAACCAAAACTCACACCTATGACTGTCATGTTTTCGTCATCAAAGATCCACATTTATCCCGTCAGTTTTCGTTATCGTCATTGAAAAAGGAGCAAAGAAAAAATTTCATCATCCATGACGAAAACAACACTGCATAAGGTTTTGCATTGTTGCCTATTTTGGCTCCTTCTTCCACGTTTGCCATGTCTCCCAAGTGACTTGTGGCAAATTTTAAACTAGACTTTTTTATGGATATCTTTCAGAAATGGCTTTCTTCAATAACAGATCGGTTTGTGCAGTATGGACTGATTGTTGTCCTGTGGACAGTCTCCTTCCTCAGCTAATAATACTTCAGCTACTTCTGCAACTAACAGCTAAGTTGAAAAGGACAAGGAATATAGAGCATTAGCAATGAGAAGAGAGGGAAACAAGAAATTAAAGCCACCTTTTCCTTTAATCATCATGGGCAATGTGAGATCTTTAGAAAACAATTAGAAGGACTCCAAACCTTAGCAAGAACCCAGCTAGAATATGGGCAACGTATTATTATGGGTTTCACTGAAACGTGACTGCAGGATCATATCACAGACTCCAGCATCTTTCAGCCAAGCTTTCTGACCGGGATTTAAAGAGGACTGGAAAATTAGAAAGGAATAAAAGACATCTGCAGAAAAGATGAACAAGCTGAATACAGAGAGCTGGTGAACGGCTTTGTTTCATGGTGTGGAAACAATCATCTGATTCTGAATGTCAACAAAACAAGGAGATGATTGGAGATTTCAGAAGAAACTGGAAAACGTTGAATCCTATTAACATTGTTCAGAAGGATTTGATGTTTTTTTGGTTTCTAAACACTTTAAATGAATCACAATCCTATAATAGCTAATGAAACTTGGCTACCAGGCAACAACCAATCAGAGCTCACTTTTCCCTCCAGTTCAATTATCACTCAGTAACGTTCAGCAGATGACGGCAACATTTCTCTGTATAAGTGTGGACTTTCACATCTTCTTTTCAGAAGGGTTAAGGCATCTATGAGCCCATAGGTTTTCCTCTTTTATTGCCTGGTTAACTGAAGACTTATAGTAAAATACTGAGTTCCCTGTTCTAAGTTGTCTGGTCTGTTACTTAATTAGCTGTTCTTTGTTTTTTGACACAATAATGATTATTTTTATCATATTATTGGAAATCTTTTAATGTAGCTTGTTTGTTTCTAATTTGGTCGCCTTCTTTATCTTACATAAGATGTGCCAATGATGCATTTATGTACCATTGGAAAGATTACATTTCTCATTATTTTCCCTTGCATCCGGTAAGGTGTTTAAGTGCTGTTGGAATTTACTGTATTTGTTGGAAATTGGCAGAAATAGCCCTGTTTTCTCTTTGTTTAACTCTTAAGTTTATTTATCAATAATTATTTTAACATATTGGTTTTATTTGCATTTTGTATACATTGCTTGTTCATTTCTATTCAAGGTAGATTTTATATGCTTGTATTGTTTATTCATTTTAATTTACTTCTGTATTTTGTAGAAACCATAAACTATAATAAGCTCAAACAACCATTCTCATCTAAATCAGCATAACTTCAATAAAGAGCGGCATGAGTGCAATTGACGTCTGTCACCATTGTTCTGGCTCAACAACCTGTGGAGATTGAGGATTAAATCAGTTGTCTATAGAGTTTTTGAGAGGTCACAAGTTTAGATTTTAAACCCACACCTTCTTCACAAACATCATTGAGGAAGAAGTGAAGGTGCAGGAGTAGAAATATCTTGATGTTCACCTGTACGACAAACTAAACTGGAGACACAAACGTGGAGCCGTCTACAAAAAGGGACAGAGCAGATTGTACTTTCTAAGGAAGCTTAGGTCCTTTAGTGTTTGCAGAAATATGCTTCATATCTTCTATCAGTCTGTTGTGGAGAGTCCGAACTCTTTCTCCATCATCTGCGGGGTAACAGCATCAGAGCAAAAGTCTTAAAAAGGCTCGACAAGCTAATAAAGAAGGCCAGCTCTGGTCTAGGAACTCCTTTGAGGAGGATTTCACAAAGATTTCCTTATAAAATAAAGACGATTATGGACAACAGTGAGCATCCTCTTCATCTGACTGTTTATCACCAACAAATTGTCTTGAGTGAGAAGCTTCTCCAAACAGGCAGGTTTAAAATAAAAATTGATAAATTTCAAATTTGAAACATTGCCAGCCTGTAAGGTAAAAAAAATAATAAAATGAATCGAATCGTATGGTGATGTATCTTGAGTATCGAAAATAATCTAATCGATGGGTCAGAAAATCGATACTGAATCGAATCGCCATGATGAGAGTGATTTACAGAGCTAGTATGTAATAATTTCATATTTGAAGTATTTTCATAAGTTTGTATTCTGAATATGAGCGGACTTCTCCTTTAAAAGGAAGCTTAACTCAAGAATCTCTACAAACATATGAACTGTTACCTGGTGCTGCATCGTAGCAGAGTGTTAACAGACATCACTGCTGGGCAGAGATGAACATGAAACCAGGTCATGAGTCCTGAAATCAGAATATTTTCAACAGTCAGATCTCTCAAAAAAACAAAGACAAGTGTTTTTAGAGTTTACTGGAATTCAGGCCACAGGCCACCGTAGTTTAACACTCAGAACAGTCATATAGATATACTACTCTTCCTTCTTTTTGCTCTATAGCTCATAAAACGGCAATAAAACATTCATGCAGTCAGTTAAATCTCATTGGGTCTCATTTATGAAGCACAAAATGGAGCCACTTTTCACACAAAGGTTCATTTTAGGGTTATAACTAATGATTATTTTGCAAATCGATTCATCTGTTGAATATTTTTTTGATTAAGGTAATAATCGGAGGACCAAAGGTATGTAGTTAAATCAGGTGAAACTAAAACTTTTCCACTTGAGGAGTTCTTGATAGAGCAGATTGGAAGAGGAAAACATTTTTTTTTTATCTTAACTGCAAAATGTTTACATTTTTTTAACAGTTTTGGTATAATTACTGCTCTAAGTGGGACAATCAATCAGTTAACGGAATGTTTTAGAGCAGGCATCCCCAAAGTCGGTCCTCGAGGGCCGCTGTCCTGCAGGTTTTAGAGGTTACCCTGCTTTAAAACAGCTGATTATAATGATTGCAGTAGAGCATAAGCCTGTTTATTAGCTTTCAATTCAAATCAGCTGTGCTGGAGCAAGGAAACTTCTAAAACCTGCAGGACAGCGGCCCTCGTGGACAGACTTTGGGGATGCCTGTTTTAGAGTCTCTATATCCAGTAAATGATTAATCAATTACTAAATTAGTTTACAATTATTTCAATAAATTAATCCGATTAATGGTTTCAGCCTTAGTTAATACACATCAAAATCCTGGCCTGGTATCTTAAATATCTTAAATTAAGCGTATCTACCATTAATTTAAGCAGGTAAATAAGATGATTTTCCAATGGAATTAGTATTTTTACTCTTAAAATAAGATAATTAGATAATATGCAAGTGAAATAAGAAAATGTAATTGTGTTTACTTATTTTAAATTTAAATTGACTTATTTCATTGGCAAAGTGTCTCACTTAACTCCTCAATTCATAAAAAATTACTTAACTAGATTTTGATTTTTTGTCGTGTTTAATGTAGATAAAAGCAGCAGGTTATCTGGGGAAA